TGTATATATATATATAAGTAATGTTATATGTAAATTAAAATACATTCACATATTTTCATGATTAAGACTAAATAACACAATTTTCTATCATTTCTAATTAGTTTCAGCCAATGGAATCTCTTTGGGGTCCAGGGGAACCGGTCTCTGCAGGGGGACAGGATCTTGGGCTACACCAGGTTTAGGACTACAAACAGAAGAAGTCAACATGAAACCACAGCGCAGTGGGAGGGGCAGGGGAGGTGTTTGTGTATGTGAGTCTCAGCGTGCCTGCTGCGTGTCCTAATGCTCATTTAACAGTGTGAACTCAGAAGGTACACCACAGCTATTCTTAGAATCCAAATCAGGCCAGCACTCCATTATCTCTTCCCTCCCTCTCTATTTCTCTCCTCTCCCTTGTTCTTTCTCTCATTCTAATCAGTGTCCTAAGGAGGCAGACCGTGATTGCTCTCGGCTCAAGTGGCACTGAAAGTAATTGTGGTGGGGATCTGGATGGAGGGGTCTGATTACGACTAGTGAGCCCTGATGAAGCTCTGATAACCATAAATGATGAGTTCAGCGAGAGGAAATCAGCTTGGAGAGCTTCTCGAGTGGATCGCTGATCTGGATTGTTTCAATGAGAGCTGTAATTGTGCTGTCACATGCATTAACATGCCGCAAAAAAGGGTACGGAACTGTATCTGTGCCGAAAACTGATGAAATTATAATGAAAAAATAAAAAAATAAATGAAACCTGGAACTGGTGGAGTTTTGAGTAGTGACTAGACAGACAAAAAAAAGGTAACAAACAAAAAAAGAGTTTTCAGCACAGGTTTTGTAGGTTCACAGAATGATGTGATGGTGCCACCTCCTGTTCAGTACAGGTTCTGCACTACTCTGGGAATTTTATATACCAATTTGAATGACTACATAAAAACATAACATTCATGATGTTTGTTCAAATCAAAACATAATTAGTATTTAAAAATAAAAATTTAAAAACATTAAAATGACTCCTCATAACATTTAGGTCTCTTTAACCATGCATGACTATGATTTGGGGACCTAAATGTAAAAGTTAAAGAAACAAGGTCATTTAAAAACCTAGATTTATCAACTACTAATTTGAATATTAAGGAGGACATGTGCTTCTAAATGTTTATTGTGGTTTATGGCATATAATAGCAAAATATGACATCTATTCATGACCTTTGAGGCAGATACTTTAACTTGAATACATGCTAATTCAATAAATAGCTGTTTATATCATGAAACAAACATAAAGGTCAGTATATCTTATTATGATCATTGCGATATTATTTAGCCATTTTGCCCTCAAATATATGGTTTATGTATTTTCGAGACATCCACTTACGGATAGGATCTGGTCTCCTCTCCGCAGCTCTCCGCTGAGGTCCGCGGGCCCTCCTGCAAGTATGAAGGAGACGAAAATGCCTTCTCCATCTTCTCCTCCTACGATGTTGAAGCCCAGTCCAGTCGAGCCCTTGTGCAGAACGATCTTCCTGGGCTCCCTGTACACACAGTTCAGGTAATACATCAGCTCAGAGTCCGTAGGGCTCAGCATCTCCACTGACACGCGCTACACTACTTTGTAAACATACACATGCAATCTACGCGTGCACGCACACACGCACACATCCACACTCTTGGGTCGGTCCAAACGATCTACAATGAAATCGAGCACAACAGCTGACACCTATTGGGCACTGCTCCACTTATGTGCTTTTTGTCCCATTTCTGCCTGGTTTCCTAGAAACGGAGAAGACGCACAGCCTCTCTCTCTCTCTCTCCTATACACACAAAATCACTTCATGCTGTGTATATATAGTATAATTTATAATAAAACAAAAATGAAAAGTTTTTAAATAAAAATAATAAATGTCAGCATAACAATTTGAATGAAAAGTTTAATTTAAGAAGTAACATGAATTATAATGGCAAACAGTGTAGAATCTAAAATATAAAACTATCTATAAAGGATAAACCTTTTTTCTTTCCTTTTAATTTCTTGAAAATCCTGAAATTAAAAATATTAATTTATTTATGAGTTTAAATCAGATTTTGAATCCCAAGCTGTGCTGAAATGCATTACAGATTGTGTTAAAATGATCCCAAAAAGTCTGATCCACTTAGCTTGGGCCCTTTTAGTTAGTCATAGGATCCTGACAGTTGAGGCATCATCCTGTCAAGTGTGACCAATCAAACCAAGAGATATCTTGAGCTGTGACACTTCTGTCAGATACACTTGAAATGTGGAGATACACAATCTTCTGAGTCTACAGATGATAATGCAAAGAGACGACACCCGAGATGGAGCTATTTTAGAACAGAAGGCTAATCTGTTAGTGCTGTCTTCTCTCTGACCTAGTTGTGAGGAGGAGGCAGGCCCATCCTCTCTCTCTCCATCACTTCATCTCTCTCCCAGTGCATCTGCTTGGCTCGCCACGGAGTGATGATGCTCTTCAGGCCATAAACAGAAACTAAACCAAGCTGCATCCCATGAAATGTGAAAACACTTTTTGGGCATAATCATTATATTTTAAGAGCTTTTTTTTTTTTTTTTTTGGATTGGCTACAGTGTGAAGAAGAAAACTGTAGCAGACCACATAAAACAACGGCATTAAAACCAAACAGAAGGCTCTGCCAACCAGTTCAATCAAACCAACCAATGTAACCAGTAAGTGGTAATCCTGATTGTGTCAGTAATCCTGTTTTTCAGCAAATCAGTTATGATTGCTTGGCCAATGGTAAACAATCTAATTAATATTCATGAGTCAGACTCACAAGGTTTCTGGCCACTACCAATCAGTTGTTCATTGATAAATTGTTCATTCATCATCATGGTTCATTGAGAAGGATTTTTCCCTGTTTTTCCAAGACGACTATGGCATACATGCTGATACATATTTGGTGTTGGTTTCACTCAGAAATTTCTAGTAAATATCACAAATAATTACAAAAGACATGGCAAACAACACATTGAATTAAACATTACATTTTTAAGTATTCATCCATCCAAGATTTGTTGGAGATGTTTTCATGTACAGCAAAATTATAAAAGGCCACATCTTTGACAATGTGTAACAACTTACATCCTGCCTAAAACTCTGCAATAAAGTACATATCTGATATCCATAGATATTTACTGCATGCTCTCTGAGGAAATATCCACTTACATTCTCTAAATTTGTGGTTTTGGTGGCTATTGATACAAGGCTGCCTAAAAAAATAACCTTTAGTCTATACAATTGGATACATAAGAACAAGATCATCACATATTCTGATCTTATGATCTGTCTGATGCTACCGAAATAGAGCTCACATGTTTAGTAGTACCCATTAGATAAAATAATGCTGCCCATTGTTAATGAATGAGTGCAGCTATGAACTAAAAATACATGACCTGCAAAGACTTCAAGCAAAGAACAGCTCCTATTCTCTTTGCACTTTGTAATACAGCCAAGATGTGAAAGTGGGCCACTTTACCACTAGATGGCACCCTATTACATTTTTTCACCCATAGAATCCAGTGAAAACAGAATCTAGCCTGAATCCCAACTGCACACTTCTACAGAAAGCAACAAATTCACACAACAAATTCTCCAAAACCATGCACAAATTTGAAAATCCACTCAAACAGGCTTATCTTATAGTTTCACACTCAAAAGTTTCACTGAACACTGCTCAAGCTATTCAAACCACATTATGCTTCAGAATGAGGTATATAAACCATTAACGTACGCGCAAGGATAATTGGGACTACTGAAAAGTCACACGAGGTTATGCATTCGAACAACTAAATCCATCTTTACACTGCAAATGCAACACAGAAAAGGTGCACTGCTGACAGACACAGAGAGGCACAGAGGTGGCATATGTGCTAATTGCTAATTGTCTTGCACAGCTGACAGAAGACAAGACACATGCTGACTGACAATGCAACGATAAAGTTTAAGGTGGCTCTGATTCTATTCATCTTAATCAGTGGTCCATTTAATGGTAAAAGTGGAAGAAAATAGGACAGAAATAAATTAGACTATAATTCAAAAACTGTAAATAATAATGATACGACTGACAAAAATGATATTAAGATTACAGATGCAAGTCTGCATGAAACAGAAGTTGATAAAGTTATAGACTAGTTACATTTATTTTAAATATTATTTTAAAGATAATTTTTATGATTCCAAGGGCATGTTAATTAAAAAAAAAAATCAATCATAAATCATTTATAATAAACAAACAAACAAAATCTCCAATTTTAATTTCATGAATAATAGCCACTATTTAACAATATTGACTTTTTGGATAAGTACTTTTTTTCTTGAAAGCTTAAAAGAAACGCTTGATCCCTGCATTATTCTAATTTATACAAACATAAATTGCAGCTTGCCACTCAGAGAAGCATCTGTGACAGCTGATCCTGAGTCTGAGGACGCATGCTGATACTAATGATATGCTGATCATTATGTATTTGACACTGCATATAGATTTATTTTGAGTAACGGCTGGTTCAGAGGTGGGTTGAGTGCTTGTAGCGCTCGTTTTCTTCACTTACATTTCTATCCTCCAAACTTCTTCTCTCTCTTTCATCCCTTTCTCTCTCTCTCTCTCTCTCTCTCTCTCTCTACCTACAGGCTGCAAAATGCTTATAGAGCTCCTGTCTGCCTCCCCCAGCAGCTAGGTCCCAGATTACAAACAGCTACTGTTTATCATTTCAAGTTCAGAGCCAAATGGGAAAACAAACCAAATAGATTACACTCGTTTTCAATTCACAATACCTGAGGGGAAGAGGGGAGGATTGGCATTTCATATGCAACCCCCTCACACATCTTTACCCGCCACCACTTATTCACTGTCACCCTGTGTTATTCTCCCTCCCTTCTCTCTCTAAGCATTCTTCCACTGTAAGAGCGTTCTGAATATGAAAATGTGTCAGAAACCTCATCCACGTGAAATATAAGCTCTCGTTTCTAATGGGCTGGCACACTACGCACCCGTCGGATGGCAAAATAAGCATTTCCTTTCAGATTCAACCTCAATAAAGGAAACAAATTGCAGAGTACCTATGTAATGACCCTCGGCCTTGAAGAAATGGGCTGAAAGCTAAAAGCTGCATATTTCAGCCCTCAACAAAGCAAGAAACACCGTAATGAATTCTTGTTCTTTCACACTACCTGGACTTGGTAACTTGAAACAAATTCTAGTTTGTCAGTCAAACTGTTTAAATGTGTGCTGTAAAGAGCATTAATCCCAATACATGTCATCTACTGGACACACACATCAGCCATGCCAGCAATGCAGCTAAATATGATTGCCACACTTCTTCTGAGGGCTTAATCTTGTTCTGTACACACAGAATTCAACCATCAATGATGTATGATGATAATACATTTGAATAGGAGTGATTTTGTTCAATTCACAAACAAATGACTGTCATGAACCAGCTCTTGTTGGCGATTCAAAAACATACTACACAAAAAGTGTAGTTTGATTCATAAAATATGACTCTTTTGAGCTGGTCCTTTTTTGAAATCGTTCAAAATCCATCCATCCATCCTCATACTTCCACACTCCCCTTTTCCCACAGGAGAGACAACAACTATGATCTCTGAAATAAAACCATGAATACCTTATGATCTTTGTTGGGTTTCTCTGTGGTGCCAGTCTATAACTGCCACTGATCGATCAACCTACTCAAACATATCTGATACCCCTCAACACAATCAATAGACTGTCATCAGATTCACAGATTCAAAGAAAACAGAGCAATTCAGCTGTTGAGCAGAAATGTTAAGACATGTATTGATATGTGCACCTCCCTGCCGTTCTCAAAAACGATCTCTCAGCAAGAGAACTGGATGGCCTTTTCACTTCTTAGCTCAATGGAGTCTCCAGATAGCAGCCTCTTCTGCACCTTTGACTGTCAGAATCACAGCGGTAAACTCCAATACACTCAGCAGATGCAATCAAATCTTTTCTGCTTCATTTTCTGTCCCTCTTAAAGGGCAGGTTGTCCACCCTAGGGAAGTTTTAAGGAGGGCACAATTGTAAACACTGAACTTTTGTTATTAAAAATATCAATGTTTTCTCCCAAGGGAAACTGGCAAATGCTTGGTATATCACAACAAAACTGGGGTTTTGACAAAAATTGTACCACTGATCAATATGAGATGGACCTGTATTGTCAACTATCAGTAATAAAGAGGAAGGAGGTTAAGAAGAAAGGGTTTCATTATTTGCTGGTTCACTGAAGCACATGTTCCACAATGCATTGCAAAGGACATCTAGGGAATAAAGAACAAACAATGGATGCAGTTTCACCGTAATCTAAACAGCTTTGCAGAGAATCTAATATCTATAGTGCACAATTTGCTTCTGAGTAAACAGCCAAAGAGTACTTTAAATATAAACACCAGCTCATTAAGACTGATTATTATGCATTTTTTATGGCAAAATGATTAAATCATTAATTTGATCACAACACAGTACAAGATCCGTATCTGTCTTTAGTTTTGCCTTTTTTTTCCCTCGCAATTTTATTTTGGACACTAGAGTTTTACCAGGAAAAATACCACCAAAAATCTAGTATTATTTTACTCTTAAATTTAACAAAATTTTTAAACATGAAGTAAATAAGTAAAATAGTTTTTAATTAGTTACGTAATGAAATGTCTTTTTATTTTTAAATGAATAAATCCATAAAATAGCCCTCAAAATGCATAGTCAAAACTTTAGTACAAGTCGTGTACCAAAGTTTAATACTTAGGGTTAGTGGTTTGTTCAGATCTCTTTATTCTAGACTGTCTTAGCAAACACCACTAATAAATTAAGCTAATTTAATCTTCATGCCCTCCCTGATAATATGAATAAACGATGAAAAGGCATACTTTAAAAAGCTCCAATAGAATTAGTATTCTTCTCGTAGGAAACATGATAATATACATAAACAACACCTGTCACTGTTAGAAATGGTGTAAGATTTCAGATATTTGTTATTTGCATTCTCCAGAAGCGTATTTTAAAAATCTGTCAGCAAACTAGATTAAGCTAGTTGATCCTTCTCTAAAAGGAACACAAGTCATACAAATTAGAAGTAACAAAATCTTGTGGGAACTGTGATTTATGGTTCATGTCACTGCAAAATTGTCCACATCAGCAAAATGCAGTTAGTATGCACCCTTCGCTTTTAGCCCCAAACAAAATTATTAATCATGATACAAACAAAACTATCACTTCAGATCAGTGAGCAGCCGGTGTAGGGGACACGACCCCCATCGAACGTATATGCCCCGAAGCTACAGAAGAGCCTGGAAAGCAAGAGCAATTCAGCCAATCGGATTCATCCATTTGGATCCGAATTGAATGATGTGAGGGATTCTCCCTCCTGACTGATGATGATTCAGAAATGACAAGATCTGGATCCTCTGAGGTCCTCCGAAATACTTGAAATACATCAGATCTGATTTCTCTCTGGGAACCACGCTTGAGGTTGTTGATTAGGATGAAATAAATTTTGTGTACTATTGCCAAGTGGATACATATTAAGAAAACATCAAAGACATCTGAATTCTAGTCAAATCAAAGATAATGACTACACTGAACAAGAAAGAGTCCGCTTGAAACATAATTTTGCAAATTGTATGCTAGTATCTCCTGGTGATGCCTAAATGGGTCAATAATACCTGAGAAAAATTCTTGAAATGATCAGCTAATGGACCACATTTCTATATCCAGGGTTTTGAGCCAATCACTTAAGCCATACATGCCATTAAAATGGCACATGGGTACAGTCAAATCCATTGCACTATATATTCCTAGTGCTCCACATGAGATTTGTTTTAGGATCGGCCAATTTTTTACTGGCAGCTGTCAGGAGCTACTCAAACACAGCTAACGTGAAGTAACAGCACTCTTAGGCAGAGTATTTTGGTGTTTATGCGTGATAAAATGAGAACTGTTCCCTTTTGGTACGATACTGACAATCTCATATGCTCGCTCACACAGAATTGGACATTTTCACAGAACAGCTGCCTGCACTTTCCCTTGAAGAGCATCACCAAAAACCGGCAGAACCCTGAACATGAGAGACAGCAATCCATTAATCACAGATATTATCACTGGCATTTTCATGAATGCTTTTCCGCAAGTCCAGAGGATTTAAGCGATGCATTAGGTGTTAGCGGTGGCGTTCTGAAATGCAAATCAACTCAAATCCCAGAGAAGCCAATTAGGCGCAGCTTTATAATTCATAGAGTAATGAACTTAAAAATCAAAATCAAAACAAACCGGTAAACAAAGCACACCCACACTGAGGGCATTATGCACAGATTCGGATAACAGTGGAACATTACTGAGCCATTTGTGCCAGAGAGTCCCGAAGAGCATTTCCTCTGTGGCCAAACCCACTGTTTACACTCCATTCATCTCCAGACTAATACATTTATATGCCTAGTCGTTTAATCAGCAAGATGAGAGATGTTTCGTTATTGCTAATAAAGTTTTTTATCCAATTAATGATACAAGCTGCTGCCTGAACCTAAACTGAAATCACTTAGACAGGAAATAAGGAAGATAAAAATCAGTCCTCTCTGATTTATGATGTACTAACGTCAGATGGATGCAACAGGCACACAAGCAAACCGCATATATGACAGCGGCCAAACTCTGACCTTCATTGGGAAGCTTGTTAATAAGCAATACAGTCTAACAAATGAAAATATGGACAATTGACAGTGGCTGTGGAAGGGAAGGAAGTAAGTGGACAGCTGCAGCAGAGATGTGATTCAGTTATACTGTTGTCACGGGTAACTGCCATGGTAACTACCAATCGTCACGCTTGTGTCCTCTATGTGCACTTTGCATCATTGTCAAATGAAGTATTAGGAATAAAAATGAAAGAGAATTATGCAAAGCTGTTGGAGTTGCTCATCTACAGTAATCAATGTAATATTTTTTTCAGCATGTCAGCATAAAACTGTATTCGCAAAATTTTTTCTTCCATTATCAGACATACACTACTGTCAACGTTCTGGGTCAGAAATATTTTTTTTTAAAGAAATTAGTACTTTTATTCAGCAAGGATACATTAAATTGAGCAAAAGTGACAGTAAAGACATTTATAATGTTCCAAAAAATTTTCTTTCAAATAAAGGCTGTTCTTTTGAAATGTATATTTTTTCAAATATTCCTGAAAAGGTTTTCACAAAAATATTAACTAGCACAACAGTTTTTAACATTGATATTAATAAGAAATGTTTCTTAGCACCATATTAGAATGATTTCTGAAGTATCATGTGACACTGAAGACTGGAGTAATGGCTGCTGAAAATTGACATCACATGAATAAATGGCATTGTAACAAATTAAATTATATAATTTGCAATATTTGTTATAATAGTTGTTATAATATAATATAATAGTTGCAATATTTCACAATATTACTATTTACTGTTTTTTTAAATCAAATAAATGCAGCCTAGGTGAGCATAAGAGAATTTTACTTCATGTATATTTCATATATAATAAAAATCATACCAACCTCAAACTTTTAGACAGTAATGCATTTTCTTAAAAACATAAACAAGGTAAATTGATTTCACTTTGGCTTCTTTTTGAAGGTACTCTCAAAGCATGTCGCTTCACTGTATCAAACCTCTGCAGATATTTAAAAAAAAGGCTAAGGAAAGAATGAGGTATATTAAGACACATGATAGTAGTACATGATAAGCAGGGCATGCAGGTGACTTTGAAATGGGGCGGGGCATGCAAGTGAGCATAAATTAGGGTGTGGCCACAGAGTTTTCATTCACATGCCTCGTTCATGTCCCATGCAGAGCACTGTGCTCAGTACCTGGTGATCTCGGAGTCAGGGAGCAGGCCTACGTGATAGTGAGGGAAGTGGGGGACTGAGTGCATGGGGTTTTTATCAAACTCTACGGGGGAGTAGAGACGGGGAGAGGGGGCGCGGTCACTCAGTTTGTTCACAGTGCTGTAAACTGGCTCTGGAGGCCTGGTGTGGGAGAGAAAGAGAGAGGCAGAGAGCAGAGCAGCTAGGGTTAGTGCGCTGATGTAGATTGATACAGAGTAGTGACAGACCGATATACAAGCAGGCCATTCCACCTAGTGTCGAACATCAAACAAATAATTTTCTCTTTTTCACTTGGTTTACAATATAAATGTTTAAACATGTCTACAACACATTTACACGAGACGCAATATTGCTTAAAAATAAAATAGCTATAAAAATTATAATAGTAAGTCTTGATTTCAAAGAATATATCTTTGAATTCTGTGTTTTCACTTAGTAAAATATTTTGCCATAACAAAAACCCATATCGTTCGACCACTAACATAGAGAGGGAAAGATAGACCGAGAGAGAAAAAGAGAGAGAGGGTGAAAAACATAGCAGTGGAAGTGGGAGGAACAAGGAAAGAACGGCAACTGGTTAGTTCAGCATATAGCTTTGATAATTAGTGTTACAATATTAAAAATGGACTATTTCAGTTTCACCATTCTTCAATTCAGCATCTTCAATCAGCCCTCAGATCTTCAATATTTGCATTTAATAATTAACGTTCTGTGTCATGCCAGTGTAAAGAGACTCCACAGGGATTGACATCCAGGGATGTTTTGGTCTGTCTTTCATTTGTTTTATTCATTCTCCCTGTCTCGATCACTCAATCTGACTGCCGCTGTCTCATTTTATACAAACAATCCACAGACTCTAGGGTTCAAAAACAGAATAGGCTGGTGGAAGCGTGCGTAGTGCAGAAGGACATAACTGAACATTCAGGACCGAAACGACGGCTCACTTAAGTCGCTCACCTCAACTGGAAGTGCTGGGAATCAAACCTGTGACCTTCCATCTCATCTAACGAGGGATTTCTGATCAGAAACAGACAATAGGTTAGCACGAGGGCAAAACAGACAGCAGTTTATATGAAATTATATGTTAAAATGTTAATTCAAAACGGCTAAAATGTATTCAGTACTTCTTATATGTAGCATGCAGAAACAAAACAGAGACACCAACAGAATTCAGGACCAAATCAAATGTGACAACACAACAAGCCCCCTTATACAACACAACTGGGTTTGACAAACAAACAAACAAACAAACAAAACCAACCACTCAAAATATTAAAATGAAAACCATTCAAAAATGTGTGCAAATCACTAGACTCTAACAGTGAGTCAGTAAGAGAGAGCAAGATCTTACTGCGGATACAAAGCTACATTAGACATACGAGTAGGATATATTTGTGACAGGCTCCTCACCGGACCACATTCTCTCCTCACTCTGCATCGTGTGAGGCTGGTTTGTTACTTGTCTTGAACGGAGATGACTCTTTTACCTTCCCTACATTCTACCTTTTTTCTCTTTCTTTCTATCTTTAACACACAGTACTCATTGTATCTTCTCCTCCCCAGTGTGTCTTTCCTCTCTCTCAGTCTCTCACTGTGTCTGGTTTCAGCACATTTCTTCAAATCTGCAGTTCTCCCCTTCTCCGTGCCCTTAATACAGGGTCACAGCGGGCTAAATAAAACCATGACAAAACCCTTATTATCAACCATGCACAAACCCTCTGGCACTTCACAGTGACGATGAGGCACAGAGATAGAATTAGGAACAGGCCAGCATCACCGACTCACAATACATATATGGAACCACAAACTTAACATGATTTATCTAAGTAGCACACGATTATAGACAGACATTGATGATAGATGATATTTTGATGGTCCTGGAACAATATATCATATAATACATTAATTTGTTGTGTCGGTTAGCCCTGCCTACTGTGAAATCTCACTGGTCTAAAATCCTGCTCTGCATTAAACATCAAATACCTTCTGAATTGACAGTGTGGACAGACAAATGGCTTGTTAGAAGTAGGAAATTTGGGTGAGTTTAGGATCAGGGGGCCCATTAGGGGGCCTCAGCTAACTTCCAAGGGGCTTCAGAATAATTAAAAAAATAATAAATTAAAATAATATACAGTACACTACAACATCGAGTTCAAAAATCTAAGGCAAGAAAGATTTTTTTTAAATACATTACATAAGATTAATAATGTTTAATAATAGAAATTATTACTTTTTTAGCAAGGATGCATTAAATTATTACTATTTCAAATAATTGTTGTTCTTTTACATTTTCTATTCATTAAGTCCTTAAAAATGTATTATGGTTTCCACAAAAACATTAAGCAGCACAACAGATTTCTGGAATTCAACACTGATAATAAAATAAATCTTTCTTGAGCACCAAATCATCATATCAGAATGATATCTGAAGGATCATGTGACACTGAAGCCTGGAGTAATGGCTGCTGAAAATTCAGCTTCACTATCACAGGAATAAATTAAAATGACATTTTAAAACATATTAAAATAGAAAACAGTTATTTTAAATTGCGATCGTTTTTACTGCATTTTTTAAACAAATGAATGCAGCCTTGATGAGCATAAGAGACTTCTCTCAAAACTTTTACAAAATATTATAGATCCCAAGCTGTAAATTAATTAAAATGCTAAACATGCACATTCATTATTCTGTCATTTCAATATCTGTTGTTTTAATCAACATTCTGGAATCGTGCATATTTTATTCTATTGACACTCCTATTTTCTGTTAATACTAAAGTTTAAACAAGCAGTTTGGCATCATTACAGCAGAAAAAAAAATTATATTATATTGTAAAAATCACAGCCTACAGTACATGTGGGACCTAGGAAATATTGGTTTCAGGTAAAGGTTAAAGCTGATTGTACAATGATTGATAGTCTTTACATAACTAACAAAGGATGCTGATGTACGTGTCCATAAGCGCATGTACATATGAGTTTCTCAGAATTAAAGTCCTTAAGGTCAGTGACAGCTGTTCCTCAGCAATGTACACAATTGGCTGATTTACAAGAACTCTCTGCCTACACATCTAATAATCATGAATGTCCAGTTCATTGGAGGTGTGCTTAATAATAATTGAGTACTGACTCAATGTAGTAATGCTAAGTGTGTATGTACATGACGGGAGTATGGAATGTTCTACTTCTGCAGCTCTATTATTCATGATGAGTGAACGACCAGGGTGTGTGGGTGTGTGTGTGTGTGTGTGTGTGGGG